TTATTGTATTTAAATAATGCAATTTGTTTGTAATAAATTTTGTAATAGCTAAGATAGCAAATTATATGCAATATATTATTTTTAAAATATATAATATTTTAATAATAAAATAATTTAAGCGGATTATTCTATCTGTAGCTCTTGCCGAAATCATCAGTGTCAAAGACGTACAAGGTGTCAAATGTTATTATGTTCATTATGTGGATTGTAAGTAAATAACTTAGAGCATTTGAGTATGAAAATCCTAAGTGATATTATTATCGTAATTGTGCTATTTTAGTCAACAAACGATTAGATGAATGGGTTATGGAGGATTGTTTGGACACTAGGAAAGTCCAATATCCTCGTCGTGAAGGAACGACACCAGGAACTGATGCAGCAACACCAAAAAAGCAGGTTCCTAGTAGACCTCCTAGTCCCAGTAGTATTATCATTGAACCAGTTAATGGTAATGCTGTGCTACAAGCTGCGCTACAAAAAAAAATGTCTAGAAAAAGAAAGGCGACATTTCTAGAAAATGAAGATTCTCAGGATGGTCCGCCACAAGCCGCCGCAAATACGCCAGGTCCCAGACCTACTGGCTCCCTAGTAGCGCATCAGAATGACGATGTAGTCACGAGAATGAAAAACGTAGAATTAATTGAACTAGGCCGTCATAGGATAAAACCATGGTACTTTAGCCCATATCCACAGGAGATGGTAAATTTAAATTGTATATATATCTGCGAGTTCTGCCTGAAATATAGGAAGAATCGAAAATGCTTGGAGAGACATTTAGTTAAATGTAATCTACGTCATCCACCCGGAAATGAGATATACAGGAAAGGATCTATATCATTTTTCGAGATTGATGGCCGCAAGAATAAGAATTATGCACAAAACCTTTGTTTGCTAGCAAAACTATTCCTGGACCATAAAACTCTCTACTATGACACAGATCCCTTTTTATTTTATGTAATGACTGAATTTGACAGCAGAGGATTTCATATAGTTGGCTATTTCTCCAAGGAGAAGGGATCGACAGAAGATCACAATGTAGCATGTATTCTAACACTGCCACCATACCAGAGAAGAGGTTACGGCAAGCTCTTGATAGAATTTTCGTATGAGCTATCGAAATTCGAAGGAAAGACCGGCTCTCCCGAAAAGCCATTGTCCGATTTAGGTTTGCTTTCGTACCGAAGTTACTGGGCGCACACAATACTCGATATCCTGTTAAATTTAAAGCCTGTGGTGGAGAATGAGAAACCACAGATAACAATAAACGAAATTTCCGAGATTACGTCGATTAAAAAGGAGGACGTGATATCGACTTTGCAAAATCTGAATCTCATTAATTACTACAAAGGACAATATATTGTGACACTAAATAGGTAATTCATTACCAAGATGAAAGGAGATTAGCTACAATTTACCTAATTTGACGAGATCTTCATCTTGAGGTATATGTTTATTTGCAGGGAAATTATTGAACAACATACAACTGCGATGGAAAAGAGACAGATTAGGATAGATCCTAAATGTCTACATTGGACACCGAAAGACTGGAGTGTTAGGGCTAAATGGTGAAAAAAACCCTGAATTGACAATAAGATGATGCTGATTTGTTTTGAAATTATTTTTCAGGAGATTTCCAGAAGTAATTACAGTTGATGAATATACAAAAGTTGTACATATATATATACATATATAAATTAATCTTTGACCTCTCAATGGTCTAGCGTTTTATAAGACTGTATTTGGCATTGTGTACGCTTATCGCGTTGCTATGTAGAAACTCGTCGACGTATGCAAATTTCGGTTGTAGAGAATTAAGATCATACAACGCGAGTGATTGCGGGGTAAAAAATATTAATGTAATGATATATATCTTAGAACCAAACGCAATGTTTTAATATGGTGGTTAGAATTTTTTTAAAGGTGCGTAAAAACGATTGTTATTGCTATGCCATGATCGATTTGTATAGAAAATCTATCAATCTTGTGTAGTATTGTAAATAAATGTGATTTTATAACATACTTACAATTTCTCAATAGCTCAAGTGCATTCAAATTTTATAGAGAAATATTTGTATAGGCTCAATACTCAGAGTGCTGTTTATAATCCGTTTTTTAGTATACAAGAAGACAAAATGTAGACATATGCATCATACCCATTGTGTATAAATATTGTATAAATATGTACACATCTTTTCACATTGTTATTTATATATTGTACATTTTCCCGCGATATAGTTGAGGTAATTAGATAATAACGAGTATTATAAAACAAGTACTATAAAAACGAGTACTCATCAAAAATGTATATTGTGTATTTGTGTGTACGAGTATCTACACGATACGCAAGCAATCTTATTTCAAAAACGATTTTTAGCTATCACCATCATTATTGATTGTATCATTAAAATCGAGAATGTAAATAATTTACTAAATTCCTAATATTTTACTGAATGCCGTCCGCGGGATTTATTTTTCATTTGTAGTTTTACCACAATCCAAATATCGAATTTTTATAGCTTATATAGTCGATGTTTGTGTATTACAAATTTATAGGTGAGGAGCGCCCCTTGATGTAGATAATCATGTTTTTCCTTTATAACAGAAAGAAGAGTTATATATAGTTACCACTAAAAAAAAAAAAAAAATAAATAAATTTCAGCTTTTCAATTTATTAATTCTTTTTTTTAATTCTATTTAGAACATCTTATACTGAATACGTGATTTAGATGATATTTCAATATATCTATCTAATTTATCGTATATATTTTTTAATAAGAAAAATATTCTCGTAAAAAGTATACCGAGAGTTTCTCGCGTTTACATATAACATTTTATTAATAAATATATTTTTAATTATTAATAAAACTATTGTTTACTGCATTGTAATAACGACCAACATTTTTATTTTATGATTAATAAAGTTAATAAAATTAATTAAAGTTTTATGTAGATTCAATATAAATTCAAGTTAATTTAACTCGGTTAACTGGAAAAAATTAAGAGTTCATACTGTGAAATTTATAAAATTTATGTATATATATCTTACTTTTTCAAATAAAAAAGAAAAGAAAAATTCTTATTTTACACGGGTATTTACATTCCATTACGTACTAATTCGAGAGGAGTTTTACGTATAGAGAATTTCTAGCACAATACATTTTTATTGCCTATATTACATAATAGATCAGTCACGTTATCGTCTTTAAAAAATAGTTTGCTCGTATGAATATAAATTACAATTTCACTTTCACTCACACACACACACAGATTCGCGACAGACTTTGTTTCGGTGAGCGAGAAGATAAAAGAAAACACTCTTTAGAGACACGACTTTTTAAATACAGCATCTTTTATGTGTGTATGTATATATGTATGTATATAGATATATATATAGATATATTTTTTTATATTCAACAGTAACATCACAGTAGCTTCATATACAATAAATCTTTGTTCATAATTTTATCTGTCTTTTTGTATTCGTTACCACGCAAGCGTGACACGGCGAGTTCCTAAAATATATCATCACGTGAATACAACGACAAGCGAGAAGGAAGAAACTCGTGTGTGCACGCACTTTTCATAATTGTCTCAGGTCACAATGATCTCATACCGATATGATCGCATGAAACTGGAAACGCTTTTTTGATATCGTAAATCCATTGATATATATTCTGTCCATCATACACACTATTACTAATTTGAATTCATGTATACAACAATGCGAGTATGATATATATCGGGATAATAAATTATCAATCGAGTAATGTGTGCACCTCACGATTTATCGCGAAGTATACTGAAACATGTAGACAATAATTCATTAATAGTCGAATGAAAAGTCGATCAAACCAGGTAACATTGGGCTGATTACAAACTGATATAGATCACTCGATACTTTTATATTTAAAAGAAATTGAACCACGATTTTTACTTATATTAATCACACTGTGAAATAATTTAAATATTATTGTTTTTTCAAAGATATTTAGGAATGAGATCTTGTTTATTACTCTTCACCATTCTCTCTCTCTCATGGCTAAAATATCCTTCAAAAATCAGAGTGTACCCTCTGGAATTCATAATATTATATAAGAGTATAATAATATAATATATAATATTATATAAGAGCGAAATAAAAAATTTATATAATTTATTTATATTATGTGATTTTCTCAAAATATAAATTGACAAATCCAGAAAAAAGTATAGTCGCGACTTCTCGCCGCTGCGTTTGTTTCGCGACATGCGTGCAATGAGTGGACAATACCTTTTTCCCTCTTAACAATAACGACAACAACAACAACAACGAGACGATGGAAATTCAATGTGGCAGCGATATAATGTCGAGAAGGACAGCGAGTATTTAACAAGATAAGAATGACGACACGTACACGATACCGCAATAACGCATTTATAGACTATCATACAAATAACCAGACGCATACCAGAGAATTTGAAAAGCGCTTAAGATTACGCACAACCCTCGTATATCGCACGGAACGCAGCTCGCGATCAAAATTATCCTTAGTCAGGCGCACATCGAGCCTCGGATAATGCAATAGCATATTCATCTCTGCATATCGTTACCGTAAGATGCGCACAATAAAATCTCTCTACAATCACATGATTATTATATCCAACGATTATAATATACACGATATATGCCAAAAACTTAACGGTTTTTTGAACACAATTATTTGATAAAAACCATAACAAATTTTGATTTTGATGAAAATTATAATTAGGAGAATGATTAATAAAATATCTTATTATTACAGAATATAACAAAATACTATACAACTGAAATTTCTAATATTAAAGATATTAATAAGCTTTTAGTTTTAATTGTTCATGATTTTTCACTTGCTAACGAATTATTTTTTTCTTAAAAGTTTTAAATGATTTTAAAGATATTCTTCTCAAATATCCGTAAAAAATTGCTTTCATTAACACAGTTTTTTTTTTCATCTCTTTTGCTGGATCGGAAACCCATTATTCGTCTCAATGTACGCCTAAAATTACTCTTACTCTACTTACTCGCCGGAATCCGCTCACGTGGCGCACAATATCTCACAATATTACACAATTTTAACTCGTCGCATTAAAAGTACCCTTTCTCTCTTCCTTTCACTCTCTCGTTCTGTTTAACATTACATATGCACATGTATGCCATATGTGCGCGTGTGTTCAAATTTTTATAATATATTATGTATATACGTATATATGTATATATATGTTTTTTTCCATCTTGTCTCCTATCTCCCCTTTGCGAAAAAACTTCTTTACATATTTACGTGAATGCATGTACAGTTGTGTGAACAATAGGCGGCAATAGCTGGACAGAATGGCGTTCGATGACATTTTTTTCGATTTTCTTTTTTAGGTGTTCTCTCGAGAGAGGGGCTTGTGTCATGCCTCGACACAATGTATCTCCCTCTTCTTTTTTTGTTCTACGTTTTGATGGAGCAACGCCTGGACTGTCTCATCGAGTAAAAAAAGTGTCGTTTTGTACATTAGTATATTCATGTCGCAGCGCGAGAGGAGGAAGAGCTATATACGACAGACGTGAGTTTGTACTGATTCATGGTATATTTTGGGGGTAAACTCGAGCGCAGGTTCATTTTGTCACATCTCAAGCAGATTATTGGTATCGATATAATTTCAATGAGACAGAGAGAAAAGGGGGCGAGGGAAGGGGAGAGGAAGTTTGACAGAATTCAATTTTCAATCCTCTCTACAGATACATAAAATTGTATTTTACATGAAATCAATTTTGCATGTCTATAAAATTCAAATTTCAGCTCTCATCGAAATTATATATCGATTTCACAAATATATCATGTTTGAGATAACCGTGGATGGACAATGTTTTATGCACGAACATATTTAGTAGTTGAATGTTCACGGAGTTGTGTAATATGTTTATGTATGTTAATTTGATATTCGTGTTTGATTAAACCTCGAGTTTATACATTATACGCAATTACGTAACGGACATTGTGAATTATACAACTACCGAAATTTCATCAGCAACCTTTGAGTGAACCTGCGCCGAGTTTCATTCCGATAAATATAACGCGCGATGGATAATGAGCTTACGACGTTTCTATTTAAACTGAGAGATAACCGTCGTAGATATACAATGACCAATCGAATACACTTCGATCACACACTAAACATCTACGATTACATACTGACGAAGTAGAATATCGAGTTTTGCTCACTCCACAATTCGTTTTCTATTATGGTATTTATCATTCGTTTTGTCTCAATCATAAAATCGTACATACCTTAAACATACATATATATAAACTGATAGAAAGTCCATTATTTCAGTATGTACGATAGTGGATAAAACGAGAAGATTACGTATCTATCGCGCGAAAATTAAATTAATTTTTGTAAAGATTTACATTATAATAATTAATCATTTAATCTATAAAATAACTATTAATTTTAAATTAATTAGAATAATAACTGCTATTACAGTGTTATATTCGCGATGTATATCTTATTATATATTCTATCGTATTGTAAAATATTACAAAGAACACCTGCTACGCAATGATAATGATTGATATAAAACATTAACAACACAAATCTTACACTCTATACAATATATGTATAATGATAATCGGCTTTTGTCGAACGGTGATACTTCGAAATTCTACTTTCGTCCAGCTGCTTGCCTGAACAATAAGACACTTAACAGTTTGGCGACCTCCGCATTTGACGGGAGGAGACCGATTTTAACCCTCAACTTCTATGATTACATTTTAGACAAAATCATTATACCACGGTAAGATCAATTTTGATCCCGATAACTTTTAATTGAAGTATCTTTAATCTTTATTGATACATCTACATCCAGTTTTGTGCTATACTCACGACAAAATGTAAGTCACTAAACACATTTAGCAATAATAATTAAATAATACTAGAGTACACAGTATCATACAGAGAATTTTAGAATATATTAATATTTATATATGAATAATATTGAATGATTTCTGATAATAATCGTGCCGGCGATTACAAATATAGATAAAACTGCATAAAAGGTAACACACATCTCCGATTTTATCGCTACTTAAATATGTTGTAGGGGAGGTTTTTCTGAATAATTCCTCGCAATAAATAAGTGGGGGATGGCATTGGTTTATAAGATATAATAAATTAAAGTTTGACATTAAAGTATGTGTATGCTGTATAATTTGTTATTTTTTCATTGAAAAAAACTGTTTATAACATTTACGCGTGGGCGAAAGAGGACCTCCGCCCCTCCCCCTGCACCTCCTGAAAAAATTCTAATCTAACCCAAACCTATTTTCAGATTTAAAAATAAAATTGGGTTAGGTTAGATTAGATTTTTTTCGGGTTGCAGAGAAAGGAGCGGAGTTCCTCTCGTCCACGCATTCAATTAATAATATTTTTCAAGACAAGACTCACAAATTCGTGTAGTTACATGTTGAAATTATTAACAAACTATTAACAAACTATTAACAAACTGCGAGAAATAAGTGAAACATATTATTGATAAAATATCCATGATTGTGTACCTATCCCGTAATGTAAACAAACACTTTTTCCACGTCTGCTCTACAACAAATACAACATATACAAACTTCTCTTTTTCTAATATTACTTTATATTATTTTTATGTACTTGATGTAGTGACGCTATCGTGTCGCTTGGTAATATCTGAGAAAAAGCATTAAAATCGTTAAACTTTAATTTGTTATATCTCCTAAACCAATGCCGTCCCCCACTTATTTCTTGCGGGGAATTACTCAGAAAAATCTCCGCTATAACATATTTAAATGGCGTTAAAATCGGAGGTGTGTTATCTTTTATGCAGTTTTACCCAAATAACTTTCTCTTAAAATCCAGAAATTTAAAAATATCAAAATACTCAAAATGCCAAAAATATTCAATCGCATATAAATATGAACCACATTATTTTTCGTCTATCATGAAATATGACATATAAACGTCTGCACTGGGAACAGATTTGAGCTTACCGTAGTGGTTGAGGGTTAACGGCCTTTTACCTTTACGTACGTTACATCGTAATATTACTTGTTACGTATATTAATAACACAATATACAGCGGGGGATCGGCGCTCGAAAACATTACGTCATAATTGCGGGCGACCACACACAATCGAGATCGTGTAAAAATATTTCCTTCCCTAAAATTCCGAGGAAGAAATTTTGAAAAAAATCCTCCAGAGAGAAAGAGAGCGACAAGTACGCGCAATTCTCGATTCTCGTGTCAATCGCGCGATTTTTTTCCTCTCATTCTTTCTCTTTCTGCCTATCTTTTGATATACGTACGCAATCGTCACTAAAACGTTACCGGAACCGGGCTAGCTCGAGATCTCGTTTGAGATACGCGAAAATTCATCGAAATCGCGTTGATCAAACTCGAGCGAAAATCCTCCTTTGAAAAAACTC